CATGATCCTGGAGTCCCGGGATCGAGTCCCGCATCGGGCTCCCTGCTCAGCGGGGAGTCTGCTTCTCCCTCTAACCCTCCCCCCTCTCATGCTCTATCTCATTCTCTTTCTCAAATACATAAAATCTTAAAAAAAAAAGACTTTTATACTTACTTACTTCAATCTCTCCTCTCACCCCATCAATCCTATCAGTGAGGAATTATCCCAAATGTAGGAGGCAGGGAGATTAAGAATCTGGTCATCCAAGGCTTTGGCTAGTGTTGGGATTTTCCAAATATTCCACTTTGCCACGACCCACAGTGGATCTGGTACAGTTTTGCTGTTGAATGTATTCCACTGTGTCCTAATCCTATGAAAATTAATGGAAAAGTGTGAACTGGGCATCAATTCATACTTAACATTAATCTGAGTATTTGATGAACCACAACTTTATGTTGCCCCTCATGCCATATTAACTCAATTTATTGTAATAATTTAAAACAATACGGATAATTGTACCCTTATTGTTTTTAAGACCCCATAAATTGAATCCAGTCTGAATCTGGCCAGCCTGGAATCGGCTGGAGAAGTGTGCGATGCCTTCGGGAAGCTACCAGCATCCTCTTTTTGGGGGGTTCAGGGCGGGGAGGGATGAAACCAGTATTTATTAAGCACCTACTGTGTGCCAGGACCTGCGCAGCGCACCACACTGCTACCAAGGGGGTAGTGGGTGAGTGTGTCTGAAGCCTTCTGCTACCCTCAGCCCCCTCCCCAGATGGGGGTGGGGGTCCTGGGGCTCTTTCAACCTCATGCATTTTACTATCTCGGTATAGAAATTATAAAAATATATAACGAACCGGTTGGAGAGGGGTTTCCTGAAAACCACCACCCTTCCCAGCCATCCCAGAGATGCTTCAAGAGTATTTCTCACTACATACAAAAATTTACTTTGAACCCCAACCATTTGACCTTGACCCCTATAAAGCCCATTTTATTATATTTTTTAAACTCCGTATGATTAACGCGGAAACCCTCTCTTCGGCACTTTCTCACCACTGGAATCGCGTCAGTTTCTCAAAGTTCCAAAATAACCTTTCCCCGGCACGGATTCATACCTCTGCCGGGGAAGGGCGGGGAGCGGCGCAAGACGTGCCGGTGTGGAGCCAGAGCCAGAGCCAGAGAGAACTTCCAGCGCCAAAGGAAAATAAAACTTGTGGCTGCTGTTTGTGCGGGAGGGTCTCCTCAATCCGGAAGCTCCCCGATCCTGGGGGGTCTCGGGGCCCGCCGAAGAGCGCCACGGTTTGGGTTTGATCCCGACGTCCTTGACCTAAATTTCTGCGCGGTGGCTGGAAAAAGGGCGCAGGGCTGGGCGGGCGGCTGGTGCCATCTCCGGATCCCGGCGGCCGGGGCCGGCGAACTTGAATGGAGAGGCCGAACTAGAGGGGGTGGGGGGCGTCTTCTCCCCTGCCCGAGCGAGGAGCGGCCGCGAGCTCCCCGCGCCTCCCCCTCCCCCGATCCACCCGCCCCCCGCAGCCCATGTGATCCAGGGAAGTCGGGGTGCGCTCCCCCTCGCCCGGCCCGCCTAGAGGCGGGGCCCCCTCCGGCCGTGGGGTTCGCGCACCGCCCCCGTGGGTCCGGCCGCGGGGGGCCGAGTGTGCGCGCG